TCAAACATTGTGCACGGTCAAGACCGGTTCAACATCAAAAGCGAACAAAGACCTGATAACAATAGGTTTCCTAACCATTCCCCTCTATTAACTATAGAAGGACGCACCGCTTTTGAACCGATCATAGATTTACATCTTACCATGCGCATGTCATAGATTACGAACATTTTCTGCACATGCTCATAACGTCGTTCACTTCGAATTGTCCGTGCATTAACACTGACCTCTGATTGGCTGTTGACGGAGAGCAAATTTTGGGACACTTTGCGCACCACGCTGGCTGTACTTTTGATCGGTCATCGCGCATTCTGTCATGTAAAAAAGACATGTTATAATCATTCCTCGTTAAAGGATGAATTCTATTTTCAATTTAAATATCTTTTAAATTGCTTTCGGGACTCAGGTAATCATGAAAAATGAAATACGTATCCAATTAATTCTTAATTTTTAGTCGGCACAATTATGTCGATTGAATGAATATCAAAATCCTAAGCAATATGCTAAAAATATCGACTCGCAACAGTTTAGAGTTTTCTAAATTATGTTTATGGGATGGATGTATTGGCTAAGAAAAGCCTCCAGATGTTGGTAATATGTATAATTATTTATTCATTTTTCGAATAATGAACGCGCACAAAATTTATTATTGTTAATAAAGATTAAATTATTCACTAAAAAAAGGAAAGGAAAGGAATGGACAAACCTTGTATCTAAAGAAATCATTGAACTGATGAACGCGCACAAAATTTATTCTTCTTTCCATAGTAAATTAACTACGCTTTTTCTAAAGGTAAAAAACACAAGGTAAGGAGATCCGCAACTTTTTTTTATCGTAGAAAGGAAGCACTTCATATTAATTCTTTTCAATAGTCAGTGGACACGCATAGGACGACAGCTAAACTAAGTAAAGGTTTTTTTATCATGGTTTCATGATGTATATTAAAACAAAATTATTTGGTTCGTTATCAATTTAGACATGAATCGGTTTTTCGTGTCACTGAAATTTAGAAGCTTTAAAATTTTACCAAATATCATTTTTTTATTCTTATGCATGTAATTTAAAATGATACGAAGGATCATTCTAAATTCTTCATCTGGTCTTCCACTCTCTTATCTAAGCTCGGTTCTCTTTGCATATAAATGTAATTAATATTTTCATAAATTTTAAACTTTAGAAATTCGAGGTTTAAGAGCGTCTAACTTTTTAAAATAAAAATTAAAGCTTTAGAAGTTAAATTCAATCTTTAAGTGGCCTAGGGGGAAATGGCGGGAAAGGAGTTTACCTCGCAGGCGCGCTTCGAAARCAAGCGCAGCCATAACTTCAAGTAGTTATAAGTTACTTCATGTTGAAATATTTTTGCACTGAAATCAAACAGGAATTTTTTAAAAAAATACATAACTGAACCTGAAACACCATTTTAGACCTAAAAACTAAAAGTTAGATACTAACTTGACAAAAACAACAGATGTCTAACACGTTCTCGTTTCCCGACTCTGATTACTTTATTTTTCTGTAACTTTAATATATTAATTCCGTCTTTGAACAAAGATTAGGCAAATACAAAACGAGTTATAACGAACTGGAATATTTCAGCTGGAAATGATAGTGGTTTTGTTTGAGTTTCTGCTGTAGAACTGTCACTTTTGTTTGTGTACTGACTCCTACAGCTAGGAAAACAAACTGACTACCTTCCTGGAAGTTTTTTTAATTAATTTGTACCAAAGTTTAGACGACTAGTAAGAAAAGCCTAGAAGAAGTGTTTGTATAGGATAGTGTTGTATTTAGGATTGAAATACGTATGCAGTCATTTCGTCTTTTATAATCCATTTGTATTGTTGGATAGAAGTTCCATATGTGTCCCAGAGCAGCACTGTATTATTATTTATTTATTTTTTATTTTTTTTATTTTTTGACTTTTCCTTTTGTTTTTATTTAATAGCAAGACCTTTATATTAACACTCTACACGGAAATTGTATACTAAACAAAAGGTCTGTTGAATTTGCGTAGCACCTGGCAAACCATTCTTTTTTCAGTATTGTTTGCTATCATGTTTCACTGCTTAAAAATCGCAATGAAATTATAAGAAAGGAAGTAGTTTCTGAAGGTATCGAAAACAATAAAGACGTTCGCCTGAATACAGTTCGTACAGTTCAAAGTTGGTTTACTAATAATTAGTTTTTCCAGTTGAATAGCAAAATGATATCAGAGATACACTCTATTGCCTTCAAACAATTCTTTCAAGTCTAGGCATTTGGTCAATACAATAAAGRAAGTGGGATCTGCCATTCAAAGCTCCAGTTCGGTGTTGACACAGATTTTATGAAGACGATGAGTGTCTATTTTTTAAAATTCGATAAACTACAATTCAACACTTGCTTGTTTAGATGGTTATAAGGATTAATTGAAAACTGAATAGTGAGATCGACTCAACTCTAAGATTTCTAGATCCTTCACAGCGTAATTTTTGTACGTATAAATGTATTCTTGGTATGTGACCACACGGCGTCTACTCAACTGTTTCTCTTTTATATTTTTTTCAATCAAAAACCCTTTTTCTATAGCTATTTCTCAGTCCTTTTTCCCCCTTTTTGTACTTTCTTCCTTTGTTATTTTTTCTTTAGCATTTGGTCAGCTGTTG